ATAACAACTGCTCCCAAGACCATAGTCTTTAAGTGTCATTTACTTTCATTTTCGTTTTATAACTTAGCGTTCTTTGAGACAATGGATTACAGCATCGCATTTAGTTATTAGCACCCCAGTAGAACTTGAAGTATGTTTTGCTACCAAAGTATATTTATTACATTATCCATTATGTATACTTTAGGAAAAATCGTGAAAAACGCATAATTAATAACTGTTCCATACGGAAAATGCCCCACTTTACATTATAAAGAGAGAAGGGTATGCCACTCTGTTGTACCCCAGCTGGGTATGATTTATAAAATTTATATAACTTTACATGGATCTATAACACTAGGTATTTATTTTTTATTGGACTAAAATACAGTGGAAAACCGGACGGCCCGAATTTGCTTGGTTCCAATGGAATTCTAGATAGTCTTGAGGAAGGAAGCATTCATTATTTATTGTTGTAAGAAATGCAGCTAGGTGATAACACCTATTCAGAACGAATTGGTGATATCATATATTGGAATAGATGATATCACCTACATTTGTATATCACATATTCATTTCCAATAGGTGATATTACCGATTCAAAAATGTGATATCACCTATTCAAATAAGTGGTATCACCTATTTGAATAGGTGATATCATCTATTCAAATTGAATGAGTGATATCATTTATTCGAATAGGTGATATCACCTATTCGAATAGGTGATATCACTAAATGGCAAAAAATACCAGAACGGCGCATCATACATTTAATAATCAAAGGGGGTCCAGTTCAGGCGCGCCCGTTCGGTTTTTGTACAATTTACCTGTATATATAATCTCAATTAATTCCACACGTAACTTTCAGGAACGTAGTTTCAGGGCTGATTCATAAATATATTCTTGCCGAAAAAGTCTGAACCTATCCCACCTCACCCCACCATCCCACCCCCTCCCCGCGTGACAATCTACCTTGTTTTTCCTTGTAAAAACAATACTTGAACTGACTTCGCCCTGTTTTTTTTTTTCATCCCATCGCAACGAAATTGTACGGGGTTATATATGCGCGCTTGTGAGTCAGAGTACGTGCGAATTAATAGAAGTAATAAATATTTATTTTCTGGCTTGCTTCTTAATTTTTTTCTTATTCCGACTTGCTTTCTTTATTAGTCCCCTTCCGGTGAAACCGGAGGGGACCATAGGCTTCCTCTGAGTCTGTCCGTCCGTCTGTCTAGCTGTCCGTCTAGCTGTCCCTCTGTCTGTCTGTCAGTCTGTCCCACTTGGTTTTCCGCACGTTTTTCTAAACGCTTGCAGATATTGAGCTGATATTTTGGTATGTGAGTGTATTTTGATAAGTTACAGATAAAGTTTGCATTTCGTTCCGCTTCAATGATTTTTGACAGAATTACGACCTTTTCAATTTTTCAGGGTTTTCCGCAATTTTTTTTTTTAAACGCTTGCAGATATTGAGCTGATATTTAGTATGTGACTTTACCTTGATGAGTTATAGATCAAGTGTTTGCATTTCGTTCCGGTTCATTGATTTTTTACGGAATTATGGCATTTTCAATTCTTAACAGGAACCAGATTACACTTGGCGGTAGGGGACAAGTATTGCTAATGCAATACTCTCAGAATGCTCGTTTTGCATAGCAGCCACATTTTAGCGTCATTTGAGTTGTGTAAAATCCGATTCGGAATTTTCTTTCGTCGACTCGAACCCAGACAAAGTGTCAGAGGTAAATTCATCAAAAATTCAATTTATAATAAAGAAAAGGCATAAAGTTCAAAGAATCTTTTCAAGAACCATAGGACGAGAAAAGATTTAACTTAATTCGTGTTGAGCATTGCGTTCCAACGCTAGCAGAAGCATGTACAATGTATACATATTATAGGCTTTTACTATCGACTGTCAGACCAAATAGGCCAAAGGCAGACTTCAGAATGCCATTAATCATGATGAATATATAACAGAATTAATTAAATTTTGTGAAAAAAAGGTACAGAGTGCGTTTTTTTTTCCTAACATCCTTTTCATAACATTGTATTTGCATTAATATATCGTGTTTTCTGATCGCTATGATAGGAGGACTATTATAGATATCTACTCGTACGGGCCGAGCATTTCATTCTCAAGGGGGGGGGGGGTTCTAGCAGATTTTTGAAGAAAAAAAACCTGTCCTTGACAATATTGCAAATAAATATTCTATCCTCCTCTGGGAAGAAAGTAAATAATTTGACCTTGACTGGCGGTACCTACACCAGCCCCTAATGCTGCGTAGTTTTGAGTTTGATTTTATTTTCATGCCTGTCAACTTTTTCAAGGAAAATAATATGTCTCTAATCATCTTGAAAATGCATATTCTGTCCTACAACGGCATGAAAGTAAATAACCTGACTCGACAAAATAAGCTACCCCCACTATACTAGAACATGTACTAATAATAAAACTGAAACAACACAATGAATAATGTCTTAGATTATTTAAAAAAAATCCCTTATAGGAAAAAATAAAGGAAGATGCTAGCATAAAAACTATGATATGTTGCACTCAAGATTTTATACACAGTACGAAACTCATCTTGCTTTTTCAATGGAAAGGATCACTTCTAGGTAAATATATGCCTTGACCTATAGGGCTGATATTGGTTTCAGTCTTTAGGAAAAACTTATCGATATCTGTTCCGGTCGCTGACTTTAGGCCACATGCGTGTGGTTTTTTGTTTCTCATGTATCGCTTTAGTTGTAGTCAACTTTGTGTTCATATGACCCTACCTCGGTATTTACAAACACATGTACATCCTTTGTATGAGGGTCCTTACTTGATGCTTGCACTGGGTAATGACAACTTGACATAAAACCTTAACTGACCTTACCACATTCTTTTCTAATCTGTAAGCCTCCCTCCTACATTTTTGACATAACATGGCGCCAATGCACACAGTTTTCTTGAGGAATGAACTGTATCTACTCTGCATAGCTCATTATCTCTCCCACTGGCACAACAGTACTATTACCCAGAGATGTTCTTGAGAAACAAACAAAGCAATTTTTGCTCGGCATGATTTTTTTTTTTCGTGACACCTGCAGTATCGAGTAACATAAAGTGAATGATTCGTGTCCTCGAACAAGATTGCTTACACTGAGGTATAGTTCCAGTTGATTGCGTTTAGTTAAAGAGAATTTATGATCTGCATTTCCATAAATGTCTTTTATATCCACAGCAAACATACATTTAAGGAAGAAAATAGAAGTAAAATGCATAAGCCTGTATAAAAAATATTAAATTCGTGTTTATACAGGTGAAAATTTGAAAAATAAAAGTGTGCCAACAGGTGGATTCGAACCTGGAGACTAAAAATGTCCATGGTGAGAGTCTGTGGTCTATCTCTCTGAGCTATACTATGAAGACATACGTCATAAATTTAATCCAGTATGATAGAAATAGGTTTTTGCATTTTTTTTTTTTTTTTTTTTTTTTGTAGGTTTTTTACGAATTTCGATCCTAGGGCAGGGGTGCCCCTAAAAGCATCTTGTTTTAAATCATTCTTTAGATCAAATTATATCAAAATTTCATAATTTAATTTAGGGGCAGGCCTACCAAAAAAAGTAGTGCTTTAACGGACAAAATACTGCTTTGACCAACTTTGGATGTTAATTTCAAAGTTGCAAATAAAAATATTTAGGTTCAAAATGCAAATTTGAAAAATTTAGACAAATATACGATAGAAAACAACTAAAGAACAATGATTTTTAAATGTAACTTTTCCGGAAATTTGTTCTCTCATATAGGTCAAATCTTTTGTTATAACGAATACATCCTAATATGTATGTAGATACTCGTATATACATGTACCTATTAAGTAAATAAATGTAAATAAAAGGTAAGCATGATTGTATGGTATATTTCAAACTTAAGCATTTTAATTCATATATTTTGAATGTTAGGGAAATGTAGAAGGAGAATGAATTCTTGCAATAAATATGTTCAATTTGATTTCTTAATTGAAAAGTTTTCTCGGAAAATTACAACCATGAATGACCTACGATAATTCTAAAATTAAATCAGAATTTTACAATATCAATTCATATTAAGAAAAAATACCCTGAAGGTTTACGATAGATCAATTAAAAAAAAAGAAAACTCATTAGAGTAAAAGAATATTATTATCATTTTTTTTTTTTTGAGTTAAGAAAACCTACTATAGACCGTTTCACGGTAAATGCGGTACTGCTCTTTTGCAGGGCAAAATGATATAATTTGGTGAAAAATGACGTAAAATTAATTGTTAAATATACGTCATTTAATTATCCGTAACAAAAACTTCGCCAAACGTTATTAATTTGCCCTGCAAAAGAGTAGTACCACAGTTACCGTAAAGGGGCTAATTCTTTACGCTGTACCGAAATCATTACGTTGAAATCTGATAACGCCTTGTTGACGTCAAGACGTCGTCAGTGATTTTTTTTTTATTAAAACATTGTATCTTTAGAGAGTTGTGTAAGGAAATTGGTTTGAGATATTTAAAAACAAAATTGATTTAGAACACGGGTATCTAAGACACATTACATAAATATAATCATCAAATTTGGGAAATTCACGGATTTTGGTGCATAACATACCTTGTTCTTTATTTTCCTCCAGAATGGTCAAGTGGATGCATGTAATTACGAGATAAAACGTAAAGGGTATTAGGAAGGAAGACAACTTTTATTATTCTTGAACTTTCTTCCTGTGCCGCATACAGTTTTGTCAAACTATCACTCCCTGGCCCCAGGATCATGAAACGTCTTAAGCCCTAGTCCAACTTTTTATATTATGCTTAAATGTAGTAGAAGTCAAACGAACCAAAATTAAAATATTCTTCTATATTTCTTACCAAAAGTGTTGAGATTAATTCAACAATGAATAAACATTTTACAGGCGATCGAAAATTTGACTCAACTTCATGATCCTGAGGCCTGGACTACAATACTTAAATATCTTCAGGAAATTACGAAAGACACAAAATGAAATTTATATGTTTACATGTAATCATTTCTCTGTAATTGTTGTTTGACACATCCAATTCTAAAACATGTAGCTTCTTGTATTTTGTTGACTGGTTTCTGTCTAAGCGATTCTTGGTAAGAGTGTAAGGCACCATGTAAGTCTCCTACAACATGCTGACAGATTCCTAGTACTTGCCAGGATATGTCTCTAGTTTTTAAAGGAACATATGTCCCATCATCATAGAGCACGAGTGTCTGTAGGTCTGTCAGTGACTGTAAACACTGAGATCTGCTACCTTGTCTATAGTGAGTTAACACAGACAACATTTCTACTACAAGAAATGGTGATAAATGTAACATTGGCTCTCCATTTTGTTGACTCGCTTTTTGTTCTAAACATAATTCTTCAATACATAGGATATTTTCCAATAATCGCACATTAATCATCCAAGCTCTCGTCATCCTCCTAGACAAAGAGAGACTACCTACAGTTTCATTGTACCTCTGCCTGTCAACAGTAACGTACATATTAAAGTCTTGCGATAATCTTTGTTTAGTGAGGTAAGTGATATGTAGTGTTTTCTCATATCTCCCTGTTCTGTAATAATACAATGCAAGATAAAGTAAATAAGAGACAGGACCTAGTCTTAATGCCAGTTTCAACATGTTACAAATAATTCTATCTAAAACGTAGAAATTTTTATATGTATAACATGGAGTACTGTTTGCTATTGTGAAAGCTAATTGAACAAGAGTCTGAGCAGTACAAAATTGTAACGTTAAAGACTGGTATGATGACAGTGATATCCATGAAAGTGTACTAAATGATTTTAAGTACAGATAAAAAACAGATATATTTTCAGCAGGAAACGATTCCTGAAATATTTCTAGCATAGCACTCATATCAACATCCGTATTATCGATAAATTCTCCCTCAGCGGAGGATAATACAAAGGACGGGCTACTGAGGGCTGGTTCAAGGATTGATCTGAGAGTCGGACTAAGCAGTAGACAGGACACACCCATTCTGTAATACTGATAAAGCTGCTGTAAAAGAGATTCACGTCCAATACCGACTACTTTGTTAATGAACATGTTGTTCTGGGCAATAAAAAAATTGGGAAACACTCCACGATAAACACAATGAATGAGATATTTAAAACATATCCAGAAGCAATCCAGTAAATTGTTCGGGCACCATATAACGTGTCCCAGTTGTATTATCCAGAACGTCGTGGTCTTCATGTAATATGAACACAATAATGGTTCCTTCCTGTAATTGATAACTTCCTTCAGAAATATTTTCAGAAGTCCATAACATAGAAATTGTGTATGATTCATGGCACACACTAGTTGTTGTTCGGCTTGAGAAAATGATAATCTCCATTCTAATTGGTTAAAAGGCGATATTTTGCTTCCAATAGGTACACAGTGACAACCTTTACTTAGAATTGTTTCCAACACAGGCATAGACGGCCAAATATGTCTCTGACATCTGTCAACCCAACCTCTTATTAGATTAGGCCAACATTTAGTGGCAAAACAAACAGCCTGATCTATTTCAATAGATTCATAGAAACTATTCGTACAAGGACCATGGATGGTGATGTTCCTGTTTGGATTACGTCTGTCGTTCGCTAGGGATTGAAAATATGTTTCTCTCCACAAAGAACTAGATATGTAAGCTCCACCATTAAAGGGTACGAGACTTGATATTGTGAAATCGTCTCTCGGGGATGTCAGAAGGCATAGTCTTACAAACCCTGGTGGTGTCCCAGAATCTTCCATTAATATAATATCGTGTTTTGATGGATTATAAACCCAGCACTGAGAGATGTCAGTTATTAGTTTATGGTTGTAAGTCCAGCACATTGTATCCCTGTCAGATGATCCAAACCGAAATCCTTCTCTATAACTACCACTAAACATCCATACGAATCCTCTATACATATGAATAGGTTTCTTTATCATGCCCTCCATGTCCAAAACGTCCCTTCTGATGGCCACTTCTGTCGGTGTCCCTATCTCATGACACAGACCAACATACAGGACCTCTGATAGACGGGGAATATGATCCATACTAAATATATAAATATATATTTATATATATAGTGAAACCTGTCTAACCCAATTCCAAAATTCTTCATATTCTTTGTTTGCGCCTTTGTTCAGTACATATAGTAATATATTTATTTCGAACTGTGCATCTATTCTAATCTAATAACACTACATAGTTAGAAAGTACTGAATTACTGTACCTGATTAAAGTCCTTCTGCAAATGGCGGTCAGTATCTATTAAGTTAAAAGGAAATTCCCAGCTCATCGAGAGTCTACTTTCATTTTCTTTTTAGTTTTCATAACACAGGTGTAATTTAAAGTCTATTTCTGAGTCAAATTCTAAGTGTTCTTTGTTTTAAACATATTTTATTGTATAAGTGAATGTGTTTTTTTCATTACATCTATAAAACGATGTATATGGGTCAAGAGAATTTTTTAGAAAAAATAAACCATTGATCTAGATTTGATATTAATAGGATACATGTAAACAAAGTTTATTTTCACATTTATGTTGTAACATCTAAAATATCGGAAAATCTACACAGGAACTTGCATTAGTTTTTTTTCTGCAATTAACAATTTGATATTACTGCATGTATATTATATATATGGTTTAGAATCGATAGATTATCATGCAAATGCATGTTAAGAACAAAACGGAAGTCTGACAAAACGTAACAGCCTTTTCAGAGATTTCAAAGCAGAAAGTTGCTACATAGAACTGTAAAGTAGCCAATGATAAGGATTATAAGAAGTGAATACAAGCAGTAAATATCTTGATAATGTAAACAAGGAGAGTTCGTGAATATATATATATATATATATATATATATATATATATATATATATATATATATATATATATATATATATATATATATATATATATATATATATATATATATATATATATATATAAGGTGAATATACAATCCTTTCCTTCCTTTTGTGTGTATATATACACGTATATGTTTCAGTATGTTCAGTGATGCATCTAGGTACGCCGTTATCTTGCTTAAAGACCATGTAATAGTAGATAAAATATTTATTTTTGGGGTTTAACAATGATTTAAGATATTGCCTTGTCCTTTGCAATCAGAGGTGAAACTATTTTAGTTTTTCCCATGAAAGAGTGGGGTTTTTTCCTTTTTATTTTTAGCAACTTAAATATATTTTTAATTTGAATGTATTTTCACTAAATTTAATTGGTGTCCTAACAGAAAGAAAGGATCCAATCTTACGGCATTTTTACAATAATAATAATAATAATAATAATAATAATAATAAACTCTTTTAATCTTGTTATCTCTTATAGATACAACAAAATATTTTCTGCGACCTTGTGATTATTTTATTAATGAATACCCCCATCCTAAAAAGTGGACCACACCAACGGGTACTGAGGGCAAGTTAGTTGATTAAAACAAAATGAATTTTAAAATAACATTACGTGAATACCTTGGTTAAATTTCTTCATCCATGCCCCTGTGGTAAAAATAAATCATAAAAAAATCACATATTTGGTTCTATAGGATATATGTTTCTTCTCCTAATAGATTGACAGTCGCCCGCGTGGTGCAGTGGTAGAGCGTCTGCTCTAGAGTCGCGGAGTAAGGAGTTGATCCTTACGTCGCGGGTTCGAATCCCACTGTGGGACGTGGAGACCGGCCCTTCGGGTGAGACCGTATAAACCGAGGTCCCATGTCGCAGTAGGAGTTGGCACGAAAAAGATCCCTCACTGCTCAACGGCCCTGAGTGCCGAGCATAGGTCAAAGTTTGCAGCTCTCCACCGGCAAGTGGTGGTGTCTCCATATGAGTGAAAATTCTCGAGAGGGACGTTAAACAACAGACAAACAAACAAACATTATAGATTGACACATCCGAAATGGAAGCATTGTGTTAAATCAAGGAATAATATTTCGTGCTTATCTGTACATCATATATATTTTCAAGTAAATATGTAAGGTACAATGATAACAGTTTTGATTCGTAATTGGTATTAAATTTACACTAAAGTCATTTGTTGTTTACTTATGGCATTCTGTTCATTTCAATTGAGGAAAAAATAACTTATTTGCATTCGTTTTTCAAATATTTTACAATATGCTTTGTTCAGGTGATAAGGTGTCAAATTGATTAAGTCATTGATTTGTAATCAATTTATATTAAATAAAACTGAATCAAAGGGAGTGAGATTTTAACTCCAAATGGTCTTTCTTTCTCCTGAAGATGATATAAGAATTTTTCTACAAGTTGCATTTTGAATATTATTGAAGTTGGGCGACTCTAGTAGATATTCATGTAATTTTGTTTTTAGCATCCATGCAAGAAAGAGATACATGTTATGTATACTCCTTTTTATGACTGAGAAACTCCTTCAAAAATTCAAAGAAGCATACGAAAGAATTATTTCATCAATTTCAATTTGCTTCTAGTTTCTCATCGAAAAGAATGCCATGCAAATTTATTGTTCACGTTATGTGCAAATAAATATTACTCAATATGCTTACATATACCGTTGCAGTTATGAGACTACATATTTCACAAAATAATAAATTAGTGCTTAAATGAATTTAAATACTGAAATGCTGAACACAAATAAAAAATATATAAATTTTTGTTATTATGAAGTAACGAAATTACCTTACAAAATCTCTGTACAAATGACGATCTGTAAGTGGAAAGGAAATATCTGACATATTCTCTTTCGTTGTCTTTAATGCGTGACTGTATATTATTTTTTATTTTAGGAACACTTTGTACTACAAAGCAAAGTCAAAACTACAAAATTTACACTTTAATTGAGGTTTAATTACAAAAGAGTTTCACGTATGAATACTATCAATATGAATTGAATGCCTTTTTAAGTCAAGAAATATCATTCAAAGCTTAAAAATATTCATCGTTCTAACATCTATATCCCCATTTCAGATGCTATGGGGTTTTAATTTGAAAATAATTTTTTTTAATAAGCATTTTTACCATGTTGAATCAGTTCATTTAATATTCATTCGTTTCATTACTGGTTTCTTGTAATGACTTCCCTGTATATTTGAAATGTTGTGGAAGATAAAGTAAAAAATATTGGATTTCTCGTATGTGTACAGATACAGTACCAACCAGACCCAACCTGACACAAAGCAGTCCCAGAGCAGTTCCGGGGATTGCTTTCTGGGACTGCTAAAGCAGTCCCAGAGCGGTCCCAGAGCAGTCCCAGAGCAGTCCCACAGCAGTCCCACAGCGGTCCCAGCAGTCACAGCGGTCCCAGAAAGCAGTCCCAGCAGTCCCAGAAAGCAGTCCCAGTGGGCGGGGTTAATTAATTTAATGGGCGGAGCTTACTCAGAATGAGATTACCAATAAACAATGCAACTATATAAAAGGCAGTTGAAATTGATGAGCAATTCTTTCTGAGTAGTATCAACAAATATTTACAATTCTTACGCGACAGTCATTTCTGAACTGTTAAGAAAATCACAGTACGCATATAGAAACAAATTATAATTATTGAACGAAGAAGACGTCCACACATATTAATAACATGAATATTTAAACACAATTATTTGGTATATTAATTTTTAACCTAAATAAACCAATGTCTTTATTTTTTGTGATTGATATTGGTTTTCATATTTATTTTTTTATATAGAAAATTAATCTTGAATTGTTTATTTTATACCAGAATTAGCTTTAAATAGATAATAATAATTATAGAGCAAGGCCGATTCCCATACTATACTCTGAATGCATTTTTCTTAAGTATTGCAGCTTTTGAAAAATTCTTTGTTAAACATTGCCGAGTATTATATTTCAGTCATGATTATTTTCAATGACTTCTTAATTAAATCATCTTTAGATTCTCATGCAGTTTTAAGTGTTTTATTATATAAATGTTCGAGTGTACATCTGTAAATCACGCAAATGGAACCCTCAGATTATGTTCAAAATTAATTAATCCCGAAATAAATTTATACACAATTACTGAAACTAAGATTTTTTGCAGGACATAGATTGAAATTAGTGTCAATGTTGACCAGCGTGTTCAATGATGTGTAACACTGATACCCAAATAACCTGCATTGACTTTCTGCTAATGCCCAAAGGTGATTGAAACCTCAGATGTTGACACCATTTTATACAATCCAGCTGTATTAACCGGCCAGGTAAACACAAACAAAGAAATAAGAAACAAGTCACAATTCCCGATATTTTCAAATGTTTATTTTTTAAATAAATGTACTCTTTTAATAACTTGTTTATAAATTAAAAACTAATTCATAAATAAATCCCCGAATAATTATTCACATTGTTTATGTGACAGAAGAATGGTAGAATAATTTTATTTCATGGTCATTAAATAAATTATTAGGTTTTATTTGAGGGTGGTAAAAAATAGCATGGAGTGCTCTTTTTTAAGCATGGTATTAGCTTTTTCAATTAAGAAAAAAAAATCCAGTACAGTACGTTCCTCTGAATACATGTATCTTACTGAAATGGCAAGTTTGTTTGTTTTTAAATAGTGCTAATGCAAACTTTGAGTACATATATAATTTGAAAGCATTAATTTATTAAATAGGCCTAGATAATTTTTTTTTCAAACACCTGTATTGAAGTTTTATTTAAGGGATAAAAATCATCCCCTGACTTCCCTTTTTAACTATTTTTATTTTCTTAAAATTAATTCTAGACTACAATTGTGTAAATTTACAGCCCTCTTAAGACATTTAGTAATTACATGTATAACTATCTCTATTTATTTGATTTTTGTAAGAAATTAATACTTGTTTTTTTAATATTTGTTTCTATCTTAAACACCTCTCTGCAGAAAGTAAACAAAACAACAACGAGGAGCTGGAAATTCAGAATACACAAGGGACGGAGCTATCATGTCACTCAGAACCTTTTTCACGCATGAGTGAACAAAGCAGTCCCAGAAAGCAGTCCCAGGGACTGCTGGGACTGCTGGGTCTGCTTTCTAGAGCAGTCCCACAGCAGTCCCAGAGCAGTCCCATAGCAGTCCCAG